AGCCAAGAGCCAGCCCCACCTCCCTTCAGAGGACGCAGTGACTTGGACTTACCGGAGGTGGTTCTGTGTTTCTGCCCTTGGCTCATCTCCGTCTTGGGCCAGGGCACTTGGAGCTCTCTCCATGTGGCGCCCAGTGTTGTGGGGAGGCAGGCCCCAGTGGAGGTTAAGTGAGGCCTGGTCCCTTCCCCGTGCCCTCCTCGGAACTGCCACAGAGGCTAAGAAGGCTGTCCTGCTGGTGCTGGCCCTGCTGGAAGTGGTATTGAAGTCTGGGCCCGCTGATGGCAGGAAGGAGACTGCCTCAGATGCTGGTCTCCCGGGACCTGAACAGTCTGTCTGCAATGACTGGAAATCCTTCTTCCTCTGGCCACCCTGGGGGTGCTAGGTAACCCCTTAGCTCGGAGATGTGGCCACAAATCTCTTCCCACTCCTCTCCATCCCTCCCCACCTGAACAGAAGGTTTTGACCTTGCAGCCTGTAAGAAAGAATCCGTCCGCATGACTGTTTACAAGCGATAGAAACACATAAGACTCTGTCCCCTGAGCTCCCACAGCCGGGCCGGGGATGCCCCACCTGGGGTGACTGCACTGTAGCTGCAAGGTGTGTTCTTGCACGAAGTGTGATCTTACGGCCCCGCGAGAGGTGCTCATCATCATTGCCCATTTTCCGCTGTTTCCGATGGGTCAGCTACCTCACGGCGGGGCCAGCTCTGCTGTCCTGGCAAGTGTCATTGACTCTCTAAACTTGAAGTCCTTCGGGAGCCCTGAGCCCAGCATCCCTGAGACACCCCAAGTTGTGCTCCATGAGAGTTGGAGTCTCTGCCCACTCTTTCAGGGATGTCCAGGGTCCATCGTTAGGGGGCAGGCCCCCAGCTCCAATCACTGCACAAGCACCCTAAGTGTTGGAAGCACAAAATGGTTGTGATTTGAGCACAATGGCAGGGTCTCGCAGGCAGACTGGATAGACCCGGGCCCGGGAAGTTCCTCCCAGGTTGGCTCTGTCCAAAGTGAGATTGGGGATGCCTGTGTCTGGGATAGGGGGTGCCCTTGCTCAGACCAGGCCTTGGCCCATGGCTCGTGCTAATTCTGGGACTCGCCAGCTAACTTCTCACCCTTCTGTGCCCATCTTAAGATCTGAGCCTTGTCAGGCCCAGCCACATCTGTATACCATGGGACCAGGAGTAAAGCGCTCTCTAAACCCCGCACCCCAAATCTCTAAACGCCTGAGTTCAGGCTGAGTCCTAGCCCTAGTGAGCCTGAAGAGCTTGCTCTGATTCCCTGTCTCCTGGGTCAAGCCCCACTTTGTGCTTTCGAAGCTTATGAGCGGGTTCCCTGGATAGAAGGAGTCTTCCATCCCCACTGCTCTTGGGCCTCTTCAGCATAGTCCTGTGCCAGGGCCCCGTCCTCACTATCAGTCGGTTCAGTATTTGCTTTCATGTGAGTGACGGACTCCTCTGAGGCAGCCGGAACTCTCAAAGGCAGCGCCTGGAGTTGCCTTGCGAGATTTCCAAGGAAGGAGGAAAGACTAACAGGCGGAGGCTGGCACACCCAAGCCTTTGAGGTGGTCAGAGTGCCACCTTCAGCCCCTTGGGAAGGGACAGCAGTGGATCTGGGAATGGCCTCGCCCTGGATTCAGCCTAGGAATCTCTTCATCCTCAGCTGTCCAGCCCTGCTGCCTGTCTGGGGCTGTGTGGCCTGGGCAGAGGGCAGTTTAAAGCACAAAACCACATGGGAAAACACGAGGTCACGGGGACTTTCTCATGTGCCTGATGTGGTGGAGGGAGATACCGGCGGGCGGCTGCAGTGAAGTTAGGGAACATAACACTTCTCTGCCCTGCTAACTCAGTTCTGGGGGGCATCCCCCGATGTGGTCTGGGCTGGGAGCAGGCATATCCCCTGGTTGTTGCCTGTGCCTGGTCTGTTCACCATCGTGTTTGTGTGGGCAGAACCTGCCCTGCAGGAGCAGTGACTTCCCACTGTGTGTCCCGGACCTGTGGTATGTGTCCCTTTGCCATCCCAAACAGGCAACTGCTCGCTGCTCTCCTCGCTTGGCATAGCCTCCTGGTCAGTGGCCAATGCCCCACAGGCCTTCCTGGGCCTGGCCCTCCTCTCTTGACTCCCAGATCCTTCCCTGCCGTCTTATGTGCAAGGACAGATTTTGCAGGGAAAGTTCTGTGTCTTCTTTGATATCTTTGTTCTGTCCCCTGCCCCATCCCCAGCACTCATGATCTTGAAGCCCCCATCACACCCCAGTTCAGTCCCGTGAACCATGTCCTGAGGGCCTTGCAGGGAAGTAGAAAGTAGAAACTGCTTCACAAAGAGCCGAGGGTCAGAGAAGACCCCTGAGATGAATCAGGGCCCTGCCCTGCCCACCAGCTCTTTTCTAGCAATCATGCCCTGCCCAGGCTGCAGGCTTCATTAGACTCCTGCTGTCCTCCGCGATGTGACTAGCACAAGGTGTATATATGTTTTGTACCTCTGCCGATGGCTGTACATAGTGTATGAAACTTATTTAAGCCTCATGTTGTACATTTCTGTTCCTGGATTGGATGTGTGTGTTCTAAGAAGTTGTCATAAATAAAACCTGAATGACCAATGTCTGTGGAGGTGTCCCCTGCCCCCTTCCGGGGGGCTGCTGACTTTTGGCTGGGACCTTTGGAGAGGGAGTTGGTAGTGGGGGTGGGTGGGTGGGTGAATGGGTGCAGCAGGCCTCTGGGGCTGGGCCCAGCCTGATGAGAACTTCCTGAGCTGTGAGTTTGGGGCTTCACCAGTTAGAAAGCAGAGAGCTTTGAGAGTGTCACATTCTCCTCCAGACTCCATATGTTGTCTCCGGAGGCAGATGCAGTTGCTGGAAGAGTGGGCAGCAGCATTTGTGGACCACCTGCTATATCCTAGGCACTGTTCAGAGCATTTTTCATTGTGTCTTCACTGTCCTGTGTGACAGGTGACATTCTCGTTTTATGAAATGAGAAAGATCTCAGGATGGAAGTGACTTTCCCAGGATCACAGCTAGTAAGGACAGAGCCAGGATCTGCATCTAGACCTGCCTGAACACAGCAGCCTTTGCCTTCTGATAATGTAACATGTGCCTCTCTAGGGCCTGGACTACGCTGTGCGTGGTGCATGCCAGATGTGTCTCAGTCCCTTGCCACTTATGGAAAGAAGGCAAGACTACAAAAAGATCATATAAGAAAAGAGCTCTACAAAGGTAATTTTTTTCTTTCTTTTTTTTTTTTTTTTTTTTTTTTTTGAGTAGAGATGGGATCTCACTATGTTGCCCAGGCTGGTCTCGAACTCCTGGGCTCAAGCCTTACCTCCCATCTCAGTCTCCCAAAGTGCTGGGATTACAAGCATGAGCCACCATGTGTGACCATGATTTTTTTTCCTAGATCAGTGCTTTTCAGTCTTTAAGAACCCATATTTCCCTTTTGATAACCACGAATTGTTTCACCAACTCCCAGAGATTCTGGCCCATCCCCTGGGCAGAGAGGACCCTCAGGGAGAGTCCACATCTTCATCACCAGCCATGACTGATTAAAAAGCTTAACTTCCTGATTTTTGTATCAGGAATATAGTGGGGTCTCTCTTTGCTTTGTTTCCCAAATATAAAACCAAATTGCTTCCTCAGCCTGCACAGGTCCCCTGCTGCTTGTCCAGCACCTGGCTGTGACAGGTGCTCGGCCAGGGAATTCCTGGAGTCTGTAGGTGGCAGAAGTCACCGTGGGTGGGAGGGCAAAGGCTTCCTGGGGAAGGTTTCCTCTAGAGAGGCCTCTGGTCCTCACAGAAAGGCCTTGGTGAGTGAGAGGGACCCTGGGCCATGGAGGGAGACACACGTGGGCGGAGTTGTCCTGACTTGCCAGCCCCGCTGGCAGGCACAGAGCCTCTTGCCCGGGAGCAGGGTGCTTCTTGTGAACAGCTGTTTTTGGCTGGCTGATCCAGCATCACCAATGCCACTCCCCGCCCCACCCTCGCTCCCCACAGGCCCGTATTTTGCATAGGATCCTGCCTGACAGTGGGACAGAAGAGCCCACTGTGACTGCAGGAAGTGACACCTGCGCATGACCAGCTGCAGGCTGGACAGGATGTGTGGGCAAGACCCAGAGACTGGCCACTGGGGAACTGGTCACGGGCCAGACCTGGAGTGGACTCCAGCCATCTGGTTCCTCCTTGCCACTGCGCTCCTCCCTGCACCCCCCAGAAAGTTTGCAACACAAAGTAATTTTTCCAAACGCAGTTCATCCTGTCTCTTGAGGATGCCAAGGCTCCTGCGGGATGTGGGGGGGACAGGAACACTGGGTTAAGAGACTCTTCTTGTATTCTTTTTTTTTTTTTTTTTTTTTTTGAGAGCTGAGAAGTGTTTGCGCACAGCCATGCGTTAGACTTAGAGGATCAGTAGTGGCAAGACCAAGTTGGTACCTGCTTCAGACTGTCACAGCAGCCTGGATGACCCATCATGCATCCTCACCCTATAAACCATCCTATTTTTGAAGTTTGCAGCACAAGTAGTTTTTAGCGAGTTCATCCACATCTCCCGAGGTTGCCGCCAAAACAGCCCTCACCAAAGGTGCTCATGAGAGATAAATCTGGGTTAAAAGTCTTCTTAGCATTCTTTGCGAAGTCTTTGCCTCTCTTACCATCCCAGGCATGAAGATTGCAGTGCACAATCTCAACCCTTCCATAACCATCTCCAGGATCCTGCCATTCTCTCTGCCTCAGCCTCCCTGTGCCAGTTAAGGCATCGCCAACTCATATAAGCTTAATTTAGTGATTTTCAGTAGAGACGGGATTTTTTTTTTTGGAGACGGAGTCTTGCTCTGTCGCCCAGGCTGGAGTGCAGTGGCCAGATCTCAGCTCACTGCAAGCTCCGCCTCCCGGGTTCACGCCATTCTCCTGCCTCAGCCTCCCGAGTAGCTGGGATTACAGGCGCCCGCCAACTCACCCGGCTAGTTTTTTGTATTTTTAGTAGAGACGGGGTTTTGCCGTTTTAGCCAGGATGGTCTCGATCTCCTGACCTCGTGATCCACCCGTCTCGGCCTCCCAATGTGCTGGGATTACAGGCTTGAGCCACCGCGCCCGGCCTCTTCTTGTATTCTTTTAATGTGGGGTGGTGTTTTGTTTCCAGATTACATGCATAATATCTGCTTACTTTAGAAAATTTGGAAAACAAGAGAGTGTCAAGAAAAATTCCATTTACGATATAAGCTACGGGGCAGCTTTCCCAGGCACAAGGGAATGGCACCTCTCAGAATTTGGTAAGAGCCATTCAATTGTCAGAACTAGGTGGTATCTTAAAAGGTATCTTTTTCTCAGCGTCTGAAGTTGAGTTTTAAAAACAAAGACAATGTTTCCCAACTCTCTGTTTATAAATTTACATTTTACAGAATTGAGGCCCATAGAGGCCAACAGAGTTGGCCAAAATCATCCTGGGACAGAGATAGCCCTAGAATCCATTACTTTCCATTTATTCATTACCTTGCATTTGTTATTTTATACCTGACCAAAGTGAGGAGGTGACTTGTGGGGGTGTCAGAGCAGTCTTTGAGGTGGGTCTCATCCCAATGCTCTTGACCTGTTAATAGGTTTTTAATAAGATCTATCTTTTATCATCGCTTGTAACAAAGCAAAACTGCCCTGGCAGAGGCAGGGCACTGCAGGACAAGTATCCAGGCCTGAGTGTTGACACATGGGGTGTGGTTTGGGCTGTGCCAAGGGCCAGTCGTGGTGGTGTTTCTATAGAGCAGCACTATCCCTGGCTCTGTGGTACCCAAACTCTCTGATCTTCCAGGATGTTTTTCACTAACAACCCTTTAATAAATCACTTTCCTGCTTAAACAACTCTGTTGCTTACCATCACAACTGCATTCTAGAACACCTCATGTATGCCAACATTACTTCCCCCTCGGCTCATAGTTGAAGTTGGTTCAAAAGAAACAGCTGGCTCTGGCCTCAGACCCATGGCTGAATGGGAGAAGGGAGCAGAGGGGCAGAGCAGGGAAAGGTCACCCCGACCCAGATGTTCACAGGAGAGAAGGTGGCTCACAAGTGACTCTACCCCAGAAGGCCAAGAATTGACTGGAAAGACAACATAATAGCTATTTTCACAAAGGTGCATGCTTTTTCCTTTTATTACAAAGATTCTGCAGGGATATACCTCCATTTCTAGCGCAGGACCCAGGAATCTGGCCCCATTGTCACAGGGTCTGATGGTCAGGCCTACATCTGAGACTCAAGGATGCAGGCTCAGAAGTAGTGCCTTTGGGGCCTCCTCCTGCAGAAGCAGGAGGTCGGGGGCTTGGCCAGTAGCAGCTTCTTCTTGGCTTCCAGGATATAGAAAGTCTGCGTAGTGAGGCAGCTGACCATGGGGTCAGGGTCTCTCTGCATGTGCCTTAGGGCTGAAACACAGACAGAGAAAGGATAGTGGGCTGCAGGAGGGCCTAGGCCCTGCGGCAGAGAGGTACCAGGCAATGGGGTCAGGACTGGTGGATTTTAAACTATGAGCAAGAGTTTCTTCTAGGAGTCCACAACGCTCTGTTGCAAGCAAGGCCACATAGCTGCTGTGAGCACAGGGAGATGTGACACCCAATGGCTCCTCACCCTGCACCCATTACCAACCACTCACTCCTCTTCTCTGCCCCTCCCTGGCCCTGCGTCCTCTCTTTCCCATAGAATAGCTATGTGTGAAGTTCTCTGACTCCAAAGAGAGGTGCAGCCAGGGACTCAACCACATATGGGAGCCCAGCGCTGTCTCTCCTACAAGAAACCCAAGGGACCCTCCTGGCTGATGAATGGGCTCCATGGTGGTGAGGGTGTGAGTGAACATGGGGCAGGAGGGCTCTGACCAGCACCTCAGAACCTAAGCACCTTGGGGATGAGCCTGCCTCTTCACACTTCTGGATGATCATTTTTGTGAGGCCATCTGCCCACTTTTCCTAACTTCTGAGCATTCCCCACCAACACCGGTGCCACTAAAAGATGCACGGGGGGGGCAACTGGGATGCCACTCACCTGTGTACACCTCCTCAATTTCATCAATCTCTTCCAAGTCTAGGGTTTGGATAATCTGGCCTACAGGGACGCAGAGAAGCACCTCAGAGGCCCTAGGAATCAGTGGGGTCCTGGCTGCAAGTACTCTCGGCCCCCTTCCCAAAACACTCACCATTCCCCTCCTTTTTCCTGTCTTTCCCTCCCTTGGCCACCAGCCTCAGGTTTGAACTTTTCCAGTAAAGTCAAACTTGTGTCCCTTGCTTCTGTGAAGGGTTCTAAGCAAATTGGGCTGGGTGAAGGAGTGGATACTCCTCTGCCCTGAAGAGCTGTTCCCTGGGTGATCTGAGGCAGTCCCCCACCTACCTCTGAACTTCCCCCACTGAGCAGCTCCTAGACCCCTTATGCCCCACCCTTTGTCTCTCTGCTGGTTGGTCTCCTAGGACTTGGCACATTCTGCTATGGGAAGGTTACCACCCAACCCGACCAGGAGCTTCCTGCAGGGGAGGGAGCAGGCAGGCACAGGCAGGCACTCCCACCTCCACTCCCACCCCGCAATGTAATTCCCATGGGTTCTGTGTGTCCTCACGTCGTGGGTGCCCAGTCAGTTTAAGGGACCCTACAACAAGGACACAGTAGCTCCAACAAGACGAAAGGCCATACCTGCAAACCACACAGCTGCCCAGCGGATGGGAACCTGTGGGCTCTTGAAGAGAGCCACACACTGCTTCAGGAACCAGAGGGCTTTGTCTGTCTCCTGCTCCAGCTGTAAGAAAAGGTGTCAGATTATGCAAGGGACCCTCAGACCGTTTTGAGATTACACTGGAGCCATCCCCTAAGTGCAAAAATCTGTCAAAACCGTCTCCATCTCCATCCCCTCCTACCACAGCTCCTGAAATCTTCTTTCTTTCATGAAGCCTTCCCGGATTGACCATGCCACAGAGATCATACTCCCTGGCCTTCACCCAGTTTGAGCATGAAGCTCATAGAGACTGGCCCCAGTGTTTGGCTCATACATTTTTTTCTCCTACTCCCAACAACAAGGTGAACCCTATTGTTTAAATCCTGTTTATTTCTATCTTAGTTTAAATCTTCAATCTCAAGGTCATATGCTTTAGGTTGCAAAGGATCATGCCTACAGCATTCTGTTTAAGCAGAGCCTTAGTCACACGAACACAAAGATGCGAACAATAAACACTGAGAATTCAAAAAAACAGGAGGGAGGGAGTGGGGCAAGGGTTGCAGAACTACCTATGGACTATGTTCACTCCTTGGGGATGGGAACATTAGGAGCACAAACCTCAGCATCACACAATATACCCACGTAACAAACCAGCACCCATGCCCCCGAACCTAAAATGTTTAAAATAGGCGGGGCACTGTGACTCACGCCTCTAATCCCAGCACTTTCGGAGGGCCAAGGCAGGCAGATCGCCTGAACTCAGGAGTTCAAGACCAGCCTGGGCGACATGGTGAAACCCGTGTGTACCAAAATGCAAAAAAATTAGCCAGGTGTGGTGGCACCCGCCTGTAGATCCAGCTTCTCAGGAGGCTAAGGAAGGAGAATCGCTAGAACCCAGGAAGTGGAGGTTGCAGTGAGCCGAGATCGCGCCACCGCACTCCAGCCTGGGCAACAGAACCAGACTGTCTCCAAAAAAATAAATAAATAAAATAAAATGAAATAAAATATTTAAAATAAATAAAAACAAACAGAGCCTAGCAGTGCTGCATGTAATTACGTGTTTTCATACCTTCCATCGTCTGCCTAGGAATGCAGCCCCTTCTACATTCATCAGACTTCCATCCTTGAAGGTTCAAAGGATGATGTGTCCTTCCCTTTGCAACAACCACTAACCCAAACCCTGTCTCCTGCATCTCCTTCCTAGCTCCGATCCTAACTCTCCTCTTTCACTCTGCAGTCTAAGTTCTTAAAACAGAAGGCTACATCCATGGTTTTTCCCAGCTCCTTTTGGCAGGATCTTTTCTTCAAAAAGAAATCTTAACTGGAAACCCAATATCCCAAACTAATAGAAGGGGTGGGGGGCGGGTGTGGTGGCCCTCGCCTGTAATCCCAGCACTTTGGAAAGCCAAGGCAAGAAGATCACTTGAGCTCGGGAGTTGGAGACCAGCCTGGGCAACATGGCAAGACCCTGTCTCTACAAAAAGAGAAGAAGAAGGAGAAAGAGAAGGAGAAGGAGAAGTGGGGCTGCTGGGGTTGAAGGAGGTGGGGAGGCTGAACCTAGCCTGCCTGCTCATCTCTCCCATCTTTTGAAGTTACCTGAGAAACCCTTGGGTTTTTGTACACTTGACTGCTTCCTGAAACTGGTCATGGTCCTTCCTAGATGACCATGACCCTCCTCTCTTGTTGTCCTCCTTTGACTTTCTGCCAGGTTTCCTTTTCTAGTCTCCTCTGTGGGATCCTTGGAACTGATATCTCCTGGGATCTCAGTGTTGACTCATATGCTCCTCCCACCACAAAATTTCCTTAGGAGAGCGTATCTGGGCTTAGGGTTGCAGTCTTCATCTACCACCCAACGGTATGCTCAGGGTTAACCAAACACAGCCCTGTTCTCCAAGCTTCAGTGATACATATCTAACTTCAATGGAAGCACAAACCTGTGGTGTTCTCACAGATTTTAGAAGCTTAACATGCACAAAATCAAGCCACCACCTTCCCCTCCACACCTGTTCCTCCCTCTGTATTTCTGACCTCAGTCCAGGACACCAGCATTCACCCATGTCAGAAGCCAAGAGGCAACTTTTACTTTCACAGTTCACATCAAATCAATCTCCACAACTAGCTAATCCCGCCCATGCCTTTGTCTTCTTGACTTCAGCATCTCTCCCCAGACACTCTATACAGCACAGGCTCCAATTCCATCCCTTGGGAACGTTTCTCTGATCTGTAGCTTGGGTGATTTGTGTGAAATGCACAGCTCTCTAACCATGCTACCCACTTGCTTAAAATATTTCAACAACTCCCCTTGCCTACAGCCTCAAGTCCTGCTCCTCACTGGGCCCAAACCTCCACCTAACAGTGTGGCCCAGCCTCCTGCTTCCGTGTCTCCTGCCCGGACCGGACTGCACACTGACAGTCCGTGAGCAAAGTCAGCCTGAAGATATTTTTTTTTCTTTGATCTATGCAGTATTTTACATTTTAAATTATTTGCCAACATCAGTGGGGGAAATTTCACCCCAATCAGAGTCTTGCTCTGTCACCCAGGCTGGAGAGCAGTGACTCGATCTTAGATCACTGCAACCTCCGCCTCCTGGGTTCAAGCGATTCTCCTTCCTCAGCCTCCCCAGTAGCTGGGATTACAGGCGTCCGCCATCTCGCCTGGCTAATTTTTGTATTTTTAGTAGAGTCAAGGTTTTCCCATGTTGGCCAGCCTGTTTCAAACTCCTGTTCCCAGGTGATCCGGCCACCTTGGCTTCTCAAAGTGCTGGGATTACAGGTGTGAGCCACCGCACCCGGCATGGATTTCCTGCTTCTCTTAACAACCCTGAGCCACTTTCTCTCCTAGAAACAATTCATGGGTTCTCAACTGGGGACTATACTGTGTGGAGGGAATTATGGAACTGGGGGATGTTTATGGTTTTCAAAATGATGAGGGGGGTACACCAATTTCTAATATCCCATTACACATTTATGTCTACCAAAATCCTACTTATACTAATCCATGCCTAGAAGTTGGCTCTTTTAGATAACAGAGTAGTTTTTCACAGTTCAACTACATACTGGATTTTCTAGGAGTGCATCTGCAATAGACATCAAAGACTATACTCCATCTTGTTCAGAAAGTCATCAGACTTTCTGGTCTAATCAGACTTTCCTGGTGTCAGGGGAGCTATTAATACAATCGTTTTGGAATTCCCATCACCAATGGTGACCCTTCTTGTGGTGACCCTTCTTGTGGTGACCCTTCTTGTGGTGACTCCTATATCATTCTGCATTTGTAGCAGATCCATTCACAGTGATTCTATGGAGAGGGGCAAGGATTCATGTACATCATTGTCTATTAAAGTAACTGGGCCCTGGCAGGGCGCAGTGGCTCACACCTATAATCCCAGCACTTTGGGAGGCTGAGGCAGGCAGGTCACCTGAGGTCAGGAGTTTGAGACCAGCCTGATCAACATGATGAAACCCCATCTCAAAGAAGAAAAAACAAAAGAAAAACGAAACCCTGTCTCTACTAAAAATACAAAAATTAGCTGGGCCCGGTGGCAAGTGCCTGTAATCCCAGCTACTCGGGAGCCTGAGACAGGAGAATCGCTTGAACCTGGGAGGTGGAGGTTGCAGTGAGCCAAGATCGCGCCACTGCACTCCAACCTGGGCTTCAGAGTGAGACTCTGTCTCAAATAAATAAATAAATAAATAAATAAATAAATAAAAAGTAACTTGGCCCAAGCATTTACATACAGTATTTATATTCTATTCTTATATCATGTTATGCTATATTGTGTTCCATATATTCCTACAGATTATTTTGTTGTAGATTACTTTCACTTCTCCTTTGGAGTTAGGGCATTATATGACTTATTTTGGAAATATGCAAAGGTAGAGGATATTATTTATGAATTTCACTTTAGGAGAGTAAAGGCGGTGTTACTAGATGTGTGCTGTGACAATGGTATGTGGTTTCTGGTCATGCTGAGGAGGCTGCCTGTGCTGGGTCTTGGGGCCTACATCTCTCCTCCGGGCCCATCCAGTCTGATCTCTGGTTAGTGTTTCCTGCATGACCTTGTAAGCATTTGCCTTTTCTGCCCCTGCTCTAATGATTCCAAGGCACTTACATTAATAGCTCCCTACACACCAGGCCCTTCTGCCCTTATTTCTCAGGATGGTTGTAAGGATCAAATTATACCAGATAATGTGTGCTCTGCTCCACACCCCTATGTACAGCATCACCTTGGTCTGCACTCTTGATTCCTTCCCTTTGCCTAAGTGTTACCCTGCCTTATATTTCTCCTTCTGAAGATGACACCTCCTCCAGGAAGCCTTCCTTCAACTTCCAGACTGTGCTGGGTACCCCTCCTTTGCCTTTCCCGAAGTATTCTGAGATTGTCTACTTGTGTGTCTAGCTCCCCAATTCAGACAGGAAACAAGGGGAGGGCAGGAACTATATCTAGGTGCCAATCACAAAGTAGGTGCTTAATGAGTATCTCATCATTGAACTGTTGCTGTTGCTGCTGCCACTACTGCTTCAAACCTCAGAGCTGCAGGAAAAAGACCTAGACCGCTAGGGATGCCATCCTCCCTTGCATAGGAGCAGACAGTGAGCAAGCTGCTGGCTTACCAGGGCTCCAAGAATGTTCCACACATCTTTCTCTGCAAATACTGCTTTCAGCTTTGACCAGCCCAGCATGGCAGCTGTGTGGCAGAGGGCAGACCGGCAGATCTGGGAGACAAGGAGGCTCAGCATGAGGAGCTGAGGAGTGGGACTGGGCAGGGAAATGGAGGGGTGCAAAGAACAGAGACAAGCAGCATCACACTCAGCCTCGATGGGATGGAAATGCTGGTGAATCGACAGGGATTCAGGGCTTAGGAAAAAGGCAGGGGTCCAGGCAGGTTGGCTCTACTTACAACCCCCTATTCCCCCTAATAAGAAGTTTAAAAATTACAGTTCTAACAATTTTCACAGTTGCTGTGGTGTGACACTGAGACCCAGAGCACTGGAACTATTTAGCTTAGAGCCTTATTCACCAGCCGCATGGCTTCCCACGCTGCCGCCCCCGCAACCCTCCCTGCCCCACAAAACAGTCTCTCTGAAAATAAATTTCCCCAAAGTCTTAATCCCCCAACTGGGTGATCACTGTTCTAAATCAGGGCTGGCTCTGTCAGGAATACCACGGCTGAGTTCACCGGTGGGACTCTCCGCACAAATATCCCCATTCAATCGCTTGCCCAGCCGGACTCAGATGTGCCTAAGAGGCCTCAGTGATGGCAGAGTGGCCTGCTCTGTGGAAACAAGGTGTCCTGTCACAGAGTAAGTCAGCCAGTCTTCAAGTGTTCAAGCTGCAGTTCACGTTCCTGGGTCTCCTGGGCTCAAAGCTGGACTCATTCATTCCGGAATGAAGGCCAGTTCCAGGCTCTCTCTATTCTGCCCACCACACTGCCTCCCACAGGGTCTTCCCGACCCAGGGAGCTCTGTCTCCATTCACAGGCAGAGAGTATGCAGAAAGCAGCATGGAGAGGGGGCTCCTGGAGCCACAGGCAGGGAGGCAGAGAGAGGGACTGCTGCCCGTCGAGATTTCCCTTGTGGGAGAAACACCCACAGTATTCCACTGGGAGTCAGTGGCCAACCAGATGGAGCCAGAAGCTGGAGAAAACTTTAGTGCAAGCATCTGTTCATCTCCAGTCTGTCATTCGGCAAGGTCAGAGACTAGTTGACTCCTTCAGCACCATCCAGTACTGCCACAGCCCTGCCTAAGCACTCAACATGCTTAGCATTTACCTCCCATGAAAACGGGGACTGAAGACCAGGCTCCAAGGCCTGGCCTCTCACCAGAGCCACGTCGGTATTTACGTCCCTCAGGTGGAGCACCAGGGGGACTAGCAAGTTGAGGATCTGGTGCTTCAAGGGGAAGACAAGGCCTCTCTTCTTGACCTTGGCCAAGAGACTCTCATAGATCTCAAAGGCTACCAACCGCAGATGCTCTGACACCTGGGAGAGAAGACACGCATGCGTGGGGAAGCAGAAGCAATCAGGTCCCTGAGCTCCACCCCCGCCAACCCCACACTCCCCTGTCCATTCCCTCCCTCAAATGACCTGCTCTGATCCCCGCCTGCTGTGGTCTGGTCTCTCGCTCCATCTCACCCCTTCAGAAAGATAAAAGGAGGGCAGGAGCAATCAAGTCCCTACAGAACAGTACCATATTCAAGGTGAAGGGCCTTGAATCATTCTGCCAACTCTGTGAGGGGTTTTGTTTTGTTTTGTTTTGTTTGACATAGGGTATCGCTCTGTCGCCCAGGTTGGAGTGCATGCCACAATCACAGCTCACTGCAGCCTTGACCTGCTGGGCTCAAGCAATCCTCCTGCCTCAGCCTCCCAAGTAACTGGGACCACAAGTGCACACCACCAGACTCAGCTAATTTGTTGTTGTTGTTAGAATGGGGTCTCACTATGTTGCCCAGGTTGATCTTGAGCTCCTGGCCTCATGTGATCCTCCTGCCTCGGCCTCCCAGTGTGCTGGGATTACAGGCGTGAGCCACCATGCCTGGCCAACTCCCTTATTTTACAGATGCCGAGAGAAAGAAAACGACCCCAGAGGGGCCTTTACCTCCTCAAAGAAGGGCACCAGCGTGAAGGTGAGCTGGATCAGGAAGGAGGAGGAGTGCCGCCAGGTGAGGTGGCTCAGGAGATTCTTCAGCACCAGCAGAGTCTCCAGTACTATGTCGCTGTTCGAGGAGTAGCAGCAGTTCAGCACATACGGCTGGAGGATTCGGAGCCGCCTCACCTGCGGGCGACAGTGGCTCAGGGAACGGGGAGCTGGGGAAATGACTCCTGCCAAGTCAAGGAATTCTCATTTCAAGTCAATTCAGCCCCGCAAATGAGAACCACACTCTACTGTTTTTTCATTCCAGAGCCGGGACTGGCCCAGCATCTGGGTAGCCATCGGAGTGAGTAGCCCAGGAGAGCATTTGGGGAGGTACCTTGCGTCCATCATGAGAAAAGGGGAGAAAACAGAGGAGGCCCCCTCCTCCCACCATGCCATAAGTTTCCATCGCCACTGCCCTTCTCATCCCTGATGATGACAGCAACCTCCAGGGGACCTGGATGACATGTGTGAGATCCTGGGGTTAGCTTCATCTATTCTCTGAAATGACCCATGAAAAAACTTCTTCAGGAGACCTTTCCTGGAGGGAGAAATCGTGAATGGCTCAAGCCCCAACTCCTGTCTGTGGTGCATTGGCCTCATGAGGATTTGCTCTCTTTGATCCCAAGAGTGTGTCCCACCCTATCTATAACTGGACACAGCAGATGTTAGCTCCCCTGGTTACAACATCTCCTGAGAGCACACCCTTAGCCCCTGCCCCATTTTACCATGTTTTCATGCTTCGCAAAGACCTCTAGCATCTGCAGCAGTGGCTTCACTATGGCTGGCTCCTCACTCTTGAACCAGTTTGCCAGAATGCGGGTGGCGAAGTCATCCACTAAGGCTGCCACATCTGGGCACTGGAGCAGCTGGGGAAGGGAGGCCAAGAAAGATGGGCAGGCAAGGAGAAAAAAAATCATCGATGACTTTGGACTAGGTTCCTACTCACTAGTAGGGAAATACTCTTAAGAGTTTAGAATTGGTAGAGAGGCCAAAGCATAAAAGGTGAATTTGCACCTGTCATTCCAGAAGTCATTTATTCATTCTCCAAGTTTTCCTTAAGCATTTTTTTTTTTTTTTTTTTTGAGATGGAGTCTTGCTGTGTCACCCAGGCTGGAGTGCAGTAGTGTGATCTCGGCTTACTGCAACCTCTGCCTCCTGGGTTCAAGCAATTCTCCTGCCTCAGCCTCCTGAGTAGCTGGGACTACAGGATGTGCCACCACGCCCAGCTAATTTTTGTATTTTTTAGTACAGATGGGGTTTCAGAATGTTAACCAGGCTGGTCTTGAACTCCTGACCTCAGGGGATCCACCCACCTTAGCCTCCCAAAGTGCTGAGATTACAGTCATGAGCCACCACAAAACTGGCCCCGTAAGCATTTTTTTTTTTCTTTTTTTTCAGACAGAGTCTCACTCTGTCGCCCAGGCTGGAGTGCAGTGGCACAATCTCGGCTAACTGCAACCTCCACCTCCCAGGTTCAAGTGATTCTCCTACCTCAGCCTCCTGAGTAGCTGGGACCACAGGCATGTGCCACCACACCTGGCTAATTTTGTATTTTTAGTAGAGAGGGGTTTTCACTATGTTGCCCAGGCTGGTCTCGAACTCCTAACCTCAGGTGATCCACCTGCCTACCCTCCCAAAGTGCTGGGATTACAGGCGTGAGTCACCACATCCAGCCCCATTAAACATTTTTGATAAAGGAAACTGTAGGAGATACAAGTAAGAAATGCACTCTGCCCTCAAAGATCCTAGCAATTCAGCTGGAGAGTCAAGACTTAGGTACATGAACCACCTAGTGAACATCTCAAGGCAATAACAATACTACATAAATTAAAAGCAAGTAAAAAATTCCTATAAACAAGTGTTGATTCATCTAGGAAAAGTTTATGAAAGAGGTAGTGGTGGCTCATGCCTGTAATCCCAGCACTTTGGGAGGCCGAGGTGGGCGGATCATCTGAGGTCAGGAGTTTGAGACCAGCGTGGCCAACATGGTGAAACCCCATCTCTACTAAAAATACAAAAATTAGCTGGGTGTGGTGGCAGGCACCTGTAATCCCAGCTACTCAGGAGGCTGAGGCAGGAGAATCGCTGGAATCCAGGAGGCGGAGGTTGCAGTGAGCCAAGATCATGCCATTGCACTCCAACCTGGAGGACAACAGCGAAAGTTTGTCTCCAAAAAAAATTAAAAAAAAAAAAAAGAAAAAGAAAGAGGTAGAACTTGAGCTGAACTTGAATAAAGAGAACTTCAGTGAGCAGATGGAAGGGGAACGTAAGCATGTGTGTGTTTAATGGGAAAAGGTAGGTATAGCAAAACAAGGGCGAAATGTAGGGATAAGCTAAGAATAAAGTAGTTGAGGGAAGGGCAACTGGGTGCTGACCCGACTCCAGAGGAGGATTCCATTGGCAAGGAATGTTGGACCTGGGAAATGTGTTATGTTGACAGAAGATCCTAGGAGGAGAGAGACCAGCATGTTATCTTTTGGAGTTGCTCCAGTCGGGTATGGTGGCTCACACCTATAATCCCAACTACTCTGGAGGTTGAGGCAGGACAATCACTTAAAGCCAGGAGTTGGGGACCAGCCTGGGCAACATAGCAAGACTCGCTGTCTCTAAGAAAAGTTAAGATAATTGCTTCAAGCACAGGTAATAAGGGTCTGGACTAGGCCAGGGTAGTGGGAATGGAGAAAGGATGACCCTGAAGAACACTGCAAAACACAGATTTACTGACCTGCTCAAAAGGCAAAAGAGAAAAGTCAAAGACAGTCTCCCAGAATAATAATTTTTTAAAAGGGAGGGGGAGAAAGGAGAATTATTAAGAAATCATTGTTGGCCAGACATGGTGGCTCACACCTGTAATCCCAGCACTTTGGGAGGCTGAGGCAGACAGATCACCTGAGGTTGGGAGTTCGAGACCAGCCTGACCAACATGGAGAAACCCCATCTCTACTAAAAATACACAATTAGCCGGGTGTGGTGGCACATGCCTGTAATCCTGGCCACTCAGGAGGCTGAGGCAGAAGAATCGCTTGAAACCTGGAGGCGGAGGTTGCAGTGAGCTGAAATTGTGTCATTGCTCTCCAGCCTGGGCAACAAGAGTGAAACTCTGCCTCAAAAAAAAAAAGAAAAAGAAAAAGAAAAAGAAAAAGGAAGAAATCCTTGTAATGATCATTCAACAGCGCTGGGGACTCCAGGCTCTGCTGGGTGATATTGAACAAGTGATGCATGTTAGTGTCACCTACAGAGCTATTAAAAATGCTGATTCTTGGACCCCACATCACCCCCAAGATTCTGAGTTAATTGGACTGAGTTGGCCCCCAAGTATTAGGGTAAGTTCTCCTGGAGATATGAATATGCATCCAGCATTGAGAACTCCTGCTCTAAGTGCACATGCTTTGGAATAAACATGCCAGATGGACACCTTGAGTCTGCACAGGTAGGCTGGCTCAGACTTACATACATCAGTACATTCACCTGGATAGACCAGCCTGGCACGCACTCTGTTTAAGGATAGACTAGCATGCACATGATGGAAAACATTATAATGGAAAAACATGTGTAGTCGTGCAAATGGAAAATCAGGAGTTAAAGTAGTCTTGTAGACAAGAAAAAACCAAACAATTCAATAGGACAATGGGCAAAGGACATGGGAAGGAATTCACAGAAGGGCAAATCCAAATCACAAAATTATATGCAGAATGCTCAAAATCAATAGGAGCCAGGGAGATGCAAACCAGAGCAGCAATAAGGTATTGCTTTACACCACGCCTGTCCAACGCACAGCCCAAAGGCCCCACGCAGCCCTGGACAGCTTTGAATGTGGTCCAACACAAATTTGTAAACTTTCTTAAAACATTATGAGGTTTTTGCGATTTTTTTTTTTTTTTTTTTTTTTTTTAGCTCATCACCTATCATTAGTGTTAGTGTATTTTATGTGTGGCCCAAGACAATTCTTCTTCCGATGTGGCCCAGGGAAGCCAAAAGATTGGACATCCCTGCTTTATACCTGCCAGGAGGACAAACATCTAAAAAAGGTTGAGCTTTGTTGTTAGAAGAGATAGAGAGAAACCCTTCTCTCACACTTCCCTGAGATAAATGTGAATTGTTAGTGTTTCTTTGGAAAACAATCTGTCAACATCTATTACGTGTGTGTGATTATTTGAGCATGCAGAAGGATACATACTTGGTTGCTTGCATTTGAGACACTTGGGAGATGAAGAGGTGGAGGTATAGACTGAATGTAGTAGGAGGGGAGAAGGCAAAAGTAGAAGAGAAAAAAAGACTGCATTTAAAAAATCAGTTTGCGGACCACTTAAGGTCAGAAGTTCAAGAACAGGGCCAGGCGCGGTGGCTCAAGCCTGTAATCCCAGCACTTTGGGAGGCCGAGATAGGCGGATCACGAGGTCAGGAGATCGAGACCATCCTGGCTAACACGGTGAAACCCCATCTCTACTAAAAAATACAAAAAACTAGCTGGGCGAGGTGGCGGGCGCCTGTAGTCCCAGCTACTCGGGAAGCTGAGGCAGGAGAATGTGTGAACCCGGGAGGTGGAGCTTGCAGTGAGCTGAGATCCGGCCACTGCACTCCAGCCTGGGTGACAGAGCAAGACTCCATCTCAAAAAAAAAAAAGAAGAAGTTCGAGAACAGCCTGGCCAACATGGCAAAACCCTGCCTCTACTAAAAATACAAAAATTAGCCAGGCGTGGTGGCAGGCATCTGTAATCCCAGCTACTCAGGAGGCTGAGGCAGGAGAATCACTTGAACCCAGAAGGCAGAGGTTGCAGTGAGCCAAGATCATGCCACTGCACTCCAGCATGGGCAACAGAACGATACTCCTTCTCAAAACTAAATAAATAAATAAATAGGCCGGGCATAGTGGCTGACACCTGTAATCCCAACACTTTGGGAGGCTGAGGCAGGTGGATCACCTGAGGTCAGGCATTTGAGACCAGTCTGGCCAATGGTGAAACTCCATCTTTATTAAAAATACAAAAAATTAGCTGAGTGTGGTGGTGGGTGCCTGTAATCCCAGCTACTCAGGAGGCTGAGGCAGGAGAATTGCTTGAACCTGGGAGGCAGAGGTTGCAGTGAGCTGAGATTGCACCATTACACTCCCACCTGGGCAACAAGAGTGAAACTCCATCTCAAAAAATAAAATAAATAAAATTTTAAAAATAAATAAATAATCAGTTTCCATGGCTTAATTTGCTTGTTTGTATTATATGTGTATATAGATTATTTTAAATAACATTTATTGCTTGATGACTTGTGAGATAGAAAATATCTTTTATATAATAAAATAACATTTTAAAAGCCAAAAGTCAATCAGATACATTTAAAATATATGTACTTGCTTTAGCATGCATGTATGCATGCACATATGTATGTACGTTTACATGTTGCTAATGGCAAAGAAGTCTTCATTAACATCTCAGCAGTTTTCATCTGTCTTTGATTGGCAGTCAGGCAGATCCACCCTAATTTACTCTCTAGCTGAGTAAGTAACTTCTTAAATTCTCTGAGCCTCACTTTCATTCTCTACAAAATAGAGCTAAATAACACCCTTTTCACAGAATTAGAGAGAAATAAAATAACAGAGCTCTGCTGTTTCTTGAGTACACTGAAGAAAAGCACACAACCTTTTCTCTTTTAAATATTTCTACTTGTGATCATCTCAAGGAAATGAATAAAGATAACGAAGCAACAAACAGGGAGTGACAAAGGCTGGGAAATATTAGAAAGCTTTCTTAGCCATGGTCTCTCACTTAACAGATCTTGACCCACTTACTTACCTGGTACCTAAAACCCCACTGGCTTTCCACTTTAGAATCTACTACTTCTCTCTCTGATTGCTAAGAATGGGGTTCACCCATCTTGCTACTGGGGTGTGCCTTCCAGCCTCTTCCCAAGCACGCTGACCTCCCCTCCCCGTTGTCAGCCTGAAACCCCAATCAGGGTGGCAGATGAGCAAACGCTCTATCGTGTGTCCCTTTCAGTTGGGTATCAGACACTTGGGGAAATTCTAGAGTGATTCTCAATCCTAGCTGTATTTCTAGAACATCCCTTTAAACCTGGGAGCTTCGAAAACAAACTGATGCCTAGACCCTGTCCCAAATCGATTCAAATAGAAAAACTTGACAGAGAGTGAGGGGTGGGGTGGGGGCTTGGCATTAGCATTTTGGAAACCTCCCGGGAGGATACTGATATGTAGCCAGGGTTCAGAATGACTGCTCTAAAGAGAGTGGCAGCTATCTCATGGTGGCCTCCAGCCCACGCAGGCTTGTGCCTTGTACTGTTTCCCAAAGCTGGGTCCAAGCACTTCCTGTGGCACAGCAACCACTGGAGTACTTTTAGAAAATTAAGACTTCGTCTGGATGTGGTGACTCATGTCTGTAATCCCAGCACTTTGGGAGTCCAAGGCAGGTGGATCAGCTGAGGTCAGGAGTTCGAGACCAGCCTGGACAACATGGTGAAACCCTGTCTCTATTAAAAATACAAAAATTAGTTGGGCATGGTGGCGCATGCCTGTAGTCCCAGCTACTCGGGAGGCTGAAGCAGGAGAATCACTTGAACCCAGGAGGCGGACGCTGCAGCGAGCCAAGATTGTGCCATTGCACTCCAGCCTGGGCAACAGAGCAAGACTCTGTCTCAAAGAAAAAAGAAAAAAAAAAAGAAAATGAAGACTTCTGGAGGGTGGGCACAATGGCTCATGCCTGTAATCCTAGCACTTTGAGAGGGGAAGCCAAGGCAGGTGGATCCCTTGAGGCCAGGAGTTTAAGACCAGCCTGGCCAACGTAGTGAAACCCCCTCTCTACTAAAAATACAAAAATTAGCTGGGTGCGGATGATGCGTGCCTGTAGTCCCAGCTGCTCAGGAGGCTGAGGCAGGACAATTGCTTGACCTGGGAAGCAAAGGTTGCAGTGAGCCAAGATCATGCCACTGCACTCCAGCCTGGGCGACAGAGAGACTCCATCTCAAAAAAAAAAAAAAAAAAAAAAAAAAAAAAAAACACCACCAGCAAAAAAGGCTTCTGGGCCTTACCCCAGACTTCCTGAATCCAAGTCTCTGGGGACAGGGCCCAGGAATCTGCATTTTAAACAGCTTCCCCAAGATATGACATTCATAAATGATTGAGATCCACTGGACTAAGCCATCCCCTTCCAGTCAGGGTTCTGCATCCTACATGTCTCATTCCCACACCCTGAGCAGGAGTTCTGCCAACATGACATATATCCTTGAATGTGTATCTCAGTACCCCATACCAACATGTACAGGTCAGCCTCTAGCAGTGGACACCTTCCAACAAGACACCAATGTCCTATAATCCACATAAGGGCACACGACGACACACTGGGATAATATCTGTTTACATCCTAGTATTAGTAATTTATTATCTTCTATCTCTGTGGTTATGTTCAAAAGTAGTCCAGCCCCTGTTAAAAAAAAAAAAAAAAAAAAAAATCTGGTGGCTTGAATTTTAAAAGGATCCCATTTAAAGCTGTAGTGGGTCAGAAACTCTGAAATTCTCCCAAATACTGTTGGTGGAAATCTAAATTGGTACAGCTCTACTGGAAAGCAATTTGGCATTATTGTTAAAAGTTATAGAAGACATTCATACTTTTTGAACCAATAGTTCCACTTATTATATTCAATAGTTAAGGAAATAATCTGGAATATGGGCAAAAACTTTTGACAGAGATGTTCATTAAAGTGTTGTTTATAATCTTGTAAAATTGGAAACAGAATGTCAAATAAATTATAGATCATCTTTGTGATGAAACATTATATCACCATTAACATTTACATTTATAGGCCAGGCATGGTGGCTCACAACTGTAATCCCAGCACTTTGGGAGGTTGAGGTGGGAGAATCACTTGAGCCCAAGAGTTCAAGACCAGCCTGGGCAGTATAGCGAGACCCCTTCTCTATATTAAATTTTGTTTTTTAATTAGCCAAGTGTGGTGCTACATGCCTGTAGGCATCGCTATTCAGAAGGCTGAGGTGGGAGAATCACTTGAGAACAGGAGACGGAGGCTGCAGTGAGCCATGATTACACCACTGCTCTCCAGCCTGGCCAAGAGAGTGAGACCTTGTCTCAAAAAATAAAACAAAATTTAAAAATGTATGTTACAAAGAACATGTAATGACATAGACAGATATTTGAATACAGCAGGATACAGAATATTAGTAGAAAATGATTTCAACTATCTCACACACACACACACACACACCTACCTCTGTATAGGCAAAAACCTGAATAAATGTGGTTTCCTCTAGGGATTATGCTTAGTAATGGTTGTATAATTTTGATATACTTTTCCATGTTTTCTAAATTTCCTATTTTCTTTTTTTTCTGTCAGGTGGCTGAATTGTACTGAGTCAATCGCTAAGCAAGGATTAATTTTAAAAGGCTGCTCAAGGCTGAGGTGGCTGAAGGAGAGAGCTGCGCTTTTCTGTAAAGTCAGGGCAGAGTCAAACTGCTGTGAGATTCAAGAAGGCACCAAAGCCCCCGGCTCAAGGTAACCATTAGCCATGTCCCCCAACCCTTCCTAGCAGTGAGTCGGTGACCTTTCCAGGAGACGTCTGTTGGGTGTGACTGTCTCACAGAGGGATCACCCTCACCTGCCCCCCTCCCGCCAAGAGCCAGTCACCTCTGTCAGGAACACAAGGGCCGTTAAGTGATTCTTGCAGTCTGGGTCCTGGAGGAATCTGATGATGGAGCTGAAGAGGGGGCGGTTGTGCCAACAGTTATTGATGACCAGGGACCTACCAACAAGAACACAGTGTTCAGGTGAGGCCTGGGCCGCAGGCCAAGTGAACGGACGACCCTCCAGCCACGGACCCAGGTGCAGCTCACCTTGCCAGCACAGTGACTCCGTCATAGTGTCTTTCAGGATTGACAAGAAGCCACCAGCCCCTACGTCTCTGTATAGAAGACACATAGTCCCCATACCCAGAACTTCGCATCAAGGTCTTCAGGGCCTCCACAGTAGAACTGGAGAAAGGGCCAAAAACAGATAGGAAGTCATTCACCACCTGCGCTCCTCTCCCTCACTGGCCACCTGCCCGACTCCCAAAACTTCCTCCGGATCATGAACTGCTGGTGTGGGACAGCCCCCAGAGACCCAGGCTAATATTTTACAAGCAAAGCAACTGGAACCAAGAGAGATGTGGCATCTGCAAGGTGACACAGGGAGCCAGCAGAAGGGTGGGGAATGCAATCCAGGTCTGTGGACTCGGATGTGTGTTTTATCCACGGTATTGATCTCATTTTGGTGCAGAATCTCTGCATCAGCCTAGTAGGCCAAGTTTAAAGAAGGAGTCTTTTCTAAAAAGTCCAGACAGCTGGACTTGCACCTGTAATCCCAGCAACACAGGAGGCTGAGAGAAGAGGATGGCTTGAGCCAGGAGTTCAAGACCAGCTTGGGCAAAATAGCAAGACCCTGTCTCTAAAAATAATAATAATAAAATATTTTTTTTTTAAGTCCTGGGGGACTTCTTGAAATGACGCATGGGGAACATGTTAAGTGCCCTGGCAGGAGGGTGTACAAAGGGTATTCAGGCCCAGCAGGCTGACACCAAGTCAGGCGAAGGTGCTAAGCTGATGGTCCCTGGAGCATAATCACTAGCAAACACCAAAGGTACCTTATAGGGTCCACACATTCAGCTATGTGTTGCTGATCCTGGCTTATTTCAGTGTCCACTTCAACCACCAAAAAGGAGATCTGGAACAGCAAGGCCATGAACAAGGAGGAGAAGAAGGACTGCACCTCCATCCGCCGACTGGGTTCCAGCAGGAGCTCATGGATGGCTCTGGTGGCCTGGGAGGGAGGAGAAGAGTGAGGCATTATCATATCTTCAACTCATAGGTCCTGTCACCAGGAAACCTCTTTCCACAATCCATCACCATGACAGACTTGCCCAGTAAAACCCATGCTGTTAGAGCAAGTGAAGACTACATTAGTGTAAGCCAGAAAAATGAAGGGCAATTTCTAGAATGTCACTGTTTTAAAGCACTCTTCTAATCATGGTGGTTGTTTTAGTCTCTTACCATCTTTGAAAGTTAAAGAGGAACTGGGAAATTCAGTTCTTCTATCTCCCTGACAAAGCTAAGTCAACTGGAAAACCCTCCCTGCAACCCAACTCCAAGACTGCCATTAGACTGTTCTACCAAACACTGATACCTAAAAGGTCAAGGCCAAAGAGCCCAAGTCAGCCGAGGACAGGAGAGCAGGGAGTCCCCTTCCCCACCCCAGCCCCCCTCTGCTGGCCTTTCCATACAATCAGTGGTGAGATCTCTGTTCTGTGGCTGGGCTCCTGGTCCTTTGATCTCTGGTGTGGAGTCAGCCTCTGGAGCAGATAGTCCATGATCATTTCGTAGCCTTTGGGGAAGGATGCCAGGATTTCCCAGGGCCTGCAAACCCCCCTGCAGAGTCAGAAACCCATGGATGTAGTTACCCACTCCAGGTAAGCCATTCTTCACAAGTCCCACAGTGCTTCCAGGGGAGGGGACTCTAGGCTCCTTTGCCCAGGCCCCTAGTTCCCCTGGTTTCTTCCTTCTTTCTTGTCTCTCTCTTCATTATCCCCTCTCTTTTTCTCCTTCTATTCCTTTCATCTTGCCATCACCTCCAGACCTCCTTGTTCTCTGTCATCTCACAGAAATCTGGAAATGTTCACTTGGTCTGTGAACCTGGTTTGAGAAAATATCTGAGGCCAAAGCTTGTTGACCACACTTGAATGTGTCAGATCAGTGAGAAGAGCCTTCTCTCTGGCCTGTCCAAGCTCTCACTACCTACCCACCCTCAGACCACTGCATCTATCTTCCAGGCTTTCCCTTGTCATCCTTAATATCTGGCATCCTTAATATCTGGCATAATATCTTTCTTCAGGCCAGGTCTGATCACCAGCCCTGCACAGCACCCCCAACCTCACCCCATGCACGGACTCTCTCTCTCCTCTATCACTGGGCACATGCTTTTCCCTTTGCCTAGTGTGACTCCCCTCTCACTTTTACCTGGAAAAATCACACTCAGAAGAAAAGTACATATCTGAAAAGCATTTGCTACAAATAACATAAAATTCTAAGAAAATGTGCTTAGTGTCCTCAAGAAGTCATGGCCTTTTTGAAACAGGAGGACAAAGCATTGAGGAAGTGAAGGTGAGATAAAAGGTGAAGACAGACTTTCACAGCTGGTAAACAATACACAGCATGCTCTGGGGACAAAGACAAGAGAGAAAAAATGAGTTGTCAATGAAAGAATGGCAATGAGACTGAGAGCCAACTTCCCCACAGAAACAGTGGAGAGCAGAAGACAGTGGGATAAACCTTCCAAGTGCTGAACAAAAATAAACATCAACCCCCAAGTTCCCAGCAAATCTATCATTTAATGCAGATTTGCTTTATTTAGAGATAAACAAAAATAGATGGTTTCACCAATTGCGTCTCCCAAGAGGATAAACTCCTAAATAATACCTTTAAAGGTTTTGTTTTTTCTTTCCCCTTTAGGGAAAAGAAAAATAATTTCCTAAGGAAAGTTTGAGATGCAAGGGATGGTGAGCAAATAAAATGGTAAATATGCCTATAAATCTAAACACAATATTAGAGTAAGAATGTGCATAACAGCACTGTTAATAATAGCAAGAAGATGGAAACAACAAACAGTCATTTAAAAAAATGGATAAAACAAGTTTGTAATAATCGTACAATGAGATACTATAAAACAATTAAATAAGCTTGGTCTGGCTGAGTGAGGTGGCTCACACCTGCAATTCCAGCACTTTGGGAGGCCGAGGAGGGAGGATTGCTTGAGCCCAGGAGTTCAAGACCAGCCTGGGTGACATGGCGAGACCCATCTCTACTTTAAAAATATACAAAAAAGAAAAATAAATAAATAAATAAACAAGTCTGGTCTAATAGATGACTTTGCATGCAGTAGAGAATATAAATTTATTTCAAATAGCCATTAAACATATAGTAAAGTTGATAACATTAATCTTCCTAGTCTATACACACAAAAGAATCCCTCAACACATTATCAAAAGGAGAAGACATTTAGATCGTGTTCTCTATCATCCAATAAAACTAGAAAAAGATGATCAAAATATCTAACCACTTGGAAATTAAAAGATTAAAGAAAGAAACCTGTATAAATTTGTATAAATATGTCATTAGATGTTGCAATGGCATTTGGTATTTCAAAGTCTATTTTTTATTTTTCAAAAAACTGAGCAGATTTTACCATTTCTTTGCATTGAAAGCATTGAAAAGCCTCTCTTCTGACTGTTTTGTAATATATGATACCTTACTGTTGACCACAGTCACTCTACTATGCCAGAATTTATTCTTCCTATCGAATTATAACTTTGTCCAGCCAGGTGCAGTGGCTCACGCCTATAATCCCAGCACTTTGGGAGGCCAAGGCAGGCAGATCACCTAAGGTCAGGAGTTTGAGACCAGCCTGGCCGACATGATGAAACTTCATCTCTACTGAAAATACAAAAATTAGCCAGGCATGGTGGCACACGCTTGTAATCCCAGCTCCTCGGGAGGCAGGCAAATTGCTTAAACCCGGGAGGCAGAGGTTGCAGTGAGCCGAGATCGCACCACTGCACTCCAGCCTAGGCTACAGAGTGAGACTCCGTCTCAAACCACCCCCGACCCAAAAGAAAACACTCTACCTTTTGTTAAACAATTCCACATCAGTGAAAAGAAAAATACTCAGCAGACACAGAATAGAAAGACACTTCCTTTTCATGATAAAGGAAATTAACAACAAGCAATCCTAATTTCCCTAGTAAGAGAGTCTACGGAATCTGCTAGGACAGAGCAAGCCCACTCCAGCCTAGCTCTCGCACCAATTAAAACTAAAAACACTGGACAAATAAAAAAAACAACTACCTCCCAACACTGGAAAAACAACATTTGAGTGAGTTTCCCAGAATTCTTTTTTCTCTATTATCTTGCAGCTTTGACCCGAAGGTGACCCAAGGGCTGAACTATGCAGCAGGCACAGGCAACAAAATCTGAGTTAAACTCTGTCTCTCTGGTCAGAGGACTGGGAAAATGGGTCCTTGTGAGTTGGGGAAGTATGGGTGGGATCCTTGTTTCTTTCTTTCTTTGTCTCTTTCCTCTCCCAAGCTCTGTCCTGAGAGTGACTCCAGATGCAGAGCTGCACAGTAGAAGCATTTGGGCAGCAACAAAAGCACCTAACACAGGGCACTGTGGCCCAGTGAGTGTAGGGATGTGGGAAGCGCTAGTTGTTTTTCTTTTTTTTCTCTCTCTCTTTTTTCTCATTTCATCACCCTGAAGCCAGATCCAGTTGTGCAGCTGTGGCAGCACAGGCAGCTAAAACTCTAAGACACGACCGGGTGCATTGGCTCACACTCATAATCCCAACACTTTGGAAGGCCAAAGCAAGAGGATCCCTTGAGACCAGGAGTTCAAGACCAGTCTGAGTAACATAGTGAGATCCATTCTCTAAAAAATGACTTTAAAAAATAGCAGGCATGGTGGCACATGCCTGTTGTCCTAGCTACTTGAGGGCTGAGGCAGGAGAATCACTTGAGCCCAGGAGTTCTAGGTTGCAGTGAACTATGATCACGTCACTGCACTCTAGCCTGAGTAACAGAGCACAACCCTGTCTAAAAATAATAATAATAATACTTTAAGTACACATTTTAACCATGCTCCATGAGGTAAAGATGTACATAACAGAAATAAATGGAAAGGTCAGGCGTGGTGGATCACACCTGTAATCCCAGCACTTTGCGAGGCTGAGGCGGAAGATCACTTGAGCCCAGGAGTTCAAGATTAACCTGGGAAACATAGAGAAACTCTGTCTCTACAAAAAGTTAAAAAATTAGCTGGGTATGGTGCCACACCCCTGTGATCCCAGCTACTCAGAGGCTGAGATGGGAGGATAGCTTTAACCTGGGAGGTTGAGTCTGCAGTAAACTATGATCATGCCACTGCACCCTACCTCGGGCAACAGAGCAAGACTCTGTCTCAAAAAAGAACTAAAGAGAGAGAGAGAAGCAAAGAAACAAAGAAAGAAGTGGAAATATGGATGTTCTCATGTTCTCAGCTGAGGAATAAGCTATTTTTTAAAAAAACCAAACGGAAATTTTAGAACTGAAAAATACAATATCTGAAACAAAAATTCACTGGATGAGATCAAGAGGAAAATGGAGATTACAGAGAGAAAAGTTCATGAACTTGGAGATGAATCAATAAAAATTATACAATTTGAAGAACTGAGAAATTAGAAAAAAATTAACAGAGCTTCAGAGACTTATAGGACACCATTTAAAAGTCGAATATTCGTGTCATTGAAATCTTATAAAAAGAAAAAGAGACTGGTACAGAAAAAAATATCTGAAGAAATAATGACCTAAACTTCCCAAATTTGGTGAGAGACATATATTTACAGATTCAAGAAGTGCAGTGAAGTTTGAACAAGATACATCAATCACAAGACACACTGTGATTACATTAAGAGCCCACTTGAGTAAATCACAATAATCTCCCCTTCTCAAGATTCTTAGCTGAAAAAAAGCCCCTTTGCCATTGTCTCAGTTTGTATCGTGCTGCTATCACAAAATCTCATAGACTGGGTAATTTATAACGAGCAGAAATTTACTGGCCTGGCACAGTGGCTCACGCCTACAATCCCGGCACTTTGGGAGGCCAAGGCAGGCAGATCACTTGAGGCCAGGAGTTTGAGACCAGCCTGGCCAACATGGCAAAACTCCATCTCTACTAAAAATACAAAAAAAATTAGCTGGGTGTGGTGGCAGGCTCCTGTAATCCCAGCTACTCAGGAGGCTGAGACAGGAGAATTACTTGAACCTGGGAGGCAGAGGTTGTAGTGAGCAGAGATCGCACCATTGCACTCCAGCCTGGGCAACAAGAGCGAAACTCTGTCTCAAAAAAAAAAAAAAAAAAAAAGAAGAAGAAGGTAAAATTGAAACATTCTCATATGGAGAAAACTAAGAATTTATCACTCAAAGACATGCTCTAAATGAAATGCTAATGAAGTTATTCAAGCAGAAAAGAAATTTTATCAGAGTGAAAGTTGAAATTTTAACAATGAAGATAAAGCAACAGGAATGGCAAATATATGAGTAAATGTAACAGACCATTTTTATCCCCTTACGTTTAAAAATATGTATGACTACTGAAAGCAAAATTAGGTGGGCAAGGTGGCTCACACCTGTAATCCCAGCACTTTGGGAGGCTGAGGCGGGCAGATAACTTGAGGTTCAAGGAGTTCGAGACCAGCCTGGCCAACATGGTGAAATCCCATCTTTACTAAAAATACAAAAATTAGCTGGGTATGCCGATGCACACCTGTAATTCCAGCTACTCGGGAGGCTGAGGCAAGAGAATCGCTTGAACCCAGGAGGCGGAGGTTGCAGTGACTGAGA